GTGATTTATTGTTTATTTTTATAAATTATGTATATTTTCATTATAAAGCAGGTTCCATTATTATTATTATTATTTTATTTTGTAGGTTTTGAAGAGCTACCCACTTAAGAATAAGAAACATTGGTCCTCGATTTTTAAGAAAGTTGCGTATGCTCCTACGAGGCAAGAATTTGATATGCCTCTTGCTCTAAAGTTCCTTCCGGATTCTAACCCAAGTTGTTGGGCGAATTCTTTATTTACTGGAGACCGTTGGGGGATCATGAATAATAATCAAGCCGAATGTTGGAATAATTGGGTGAGGGCGGCACGACTTATTCCTATCTTAGCCATGGTCAATCACATACAGAAGAAAATTATGACCATGATGCACGATCGACGTGAAGGAGGGTCACGGTTTAATGGCCCGTTGTGTCCGAAGCTCGAAAAAATAATTTCATCTCGCTACAATGCTTCCCAGAATCTCAAAATCATGCAATCAAGTGAATGGAGGTTTGAGGTTCTTGATGCGGACAAAAGTTGTGACGTGGATTTGCAAACTCGCACTTGTTCTTGTAGAGAATGGCAACTATCTAAGATGCCATGTCGCCATGCATGTGCTTGTGTTGAGAGTAAGTCAATGTCTATCTATGATTTTTGTGATCCATATTATTAGGTTGGGATGTATAGGAAAACTTATCAAGGTACTATTAATCCTATACCCAACTACGATCATAATGTGGCCTCTTCCTCCATATATCATGATGATGTCATTCATGCTCCGGATGTACGACCTCAGCCCGGACGCAGGAGGGAAAAAAGAATTCCTTCACAAGTTGATGTTGCGGATAGGTGGTGCAAGTGTTGTGGTCGTCTTGGACACAATCGACGTACGTACAAAGAACCTATCTAGATCACTCATGTATTATGTTTTTTGGGCATGTGTATTTTTTTTTTTTTTTTTTTTTTGCATGTGTATTTTGTTATTGCCCAGATGTATTTTGTATTTTGTCAGTTGTATTTGGTATTTTTTCGGAATATGTATTTTGATCAATTAGTACCAGTTATTGATGAATTAGTACCACTTATTCTTCTATTCAGTAACAGTTATTGATCAATTAGTACCTACTTTGTAGAAAGGACAAAAAAAGGGGTTACTTCAAATTTTGTCAACATTTCAAAATTAGTACCAGTCATAGAGTAAGAGAGTACCTGTTTTATGTTGTTGTAGTACCAGGTATCGGGTCTTTAGTACCACTTATAATGAACACATAAAAACACCGAAACTCGATCGCAAATGATGTTTATATGACCCATAATCACTTTCACAGTAGTTTATATGAGATTTAAAATGTGGTTAATTAAGTTTATTAAGTCAAGAAGTACAATATAATTTTTATAAGCCAAGGAGGTTAAGTAGGACATAATAAATTCGGTGTTTCTATGTGTTCATTGTAAATGGTAATAAAGGCTCTATATGTGGTACTAGATCACTAAAATCAGGTACTAACTTACACTATGACTGATACTACTTTTTATAAATGTTGACCACAGTTGAAATATTCCATCTTGGTTGACCAGAAGTAGGTACTGATTTATCAATATCAGGTACTGCGTGGAATACAAGTGTGAGAGTGATTATGGGTCGTATAAACATCATTTTCGATCGATATTCGGTGTTTCTATGTGTTCACTACAAGTGGTACTGAGGACTCCATAAGTGGTACTAAAACCAAAAAAACAGGTACTACATTACACTATGACTGGTACTACTTTTTTTAAATGTTGACCACAGTTGAATAAATCAATTATCCTTCACAAAAGTAGGTAATGATTGACTGAAAACAGGTACCACGTACAGGAAAATGTGGTACTATTATGACTAAATCAGGTACTATTGTAAGAATCGTGAAATTTCTAATCATTCATGTCTACCATGTCATGTGGATCGTTAACGCGTGATTTGGATGAAAAATAGTGGAAGTTAAAACATATAGGTAGAAATTGGAGTAGTCATGTATGATGATTCTATGAGATGAAGTCTTTCATTCCATGAAGTGAATTGTAGTAGTTGTGTTATCTCATTAGTGTGTAGGGTTCATGACCATTTTATGATTAAACTCAACGAAAAACATTTTAAATCTCATATAAACTAATGTGATACTGATTATGGGTCGTATAAACATCATTTTTGACCCATATTCGGTGTTTTTATGTGTTCACTACAAGTGGTACTGAGGACTCTATAAGTGATATTAAACCCAAAAAACCAGGTACTACAACACACTATGACTGGTACTACTTTTTTAAATGTTGACCACAGTTGAAAAAATCAATTATACTTCACAAAAGTAGGTACTGATCGACTGAAAACAGGTACCACGTACAAGAAAATGTGGTACTATTGTGACTAAATCAGGTACTATTGTAAGAATCGTGATATTTCTAATCCTTCATATCTACCATGTCACGTGGATCGTTAACGCGTGATTTGGATATTTGGATGAAAAATAGTGAAAGTTAAAACTTATAGGTAGAAATTGGAGTAGTCATGTATGATGATTCTATGAGATGAAGTGTTTCATTCCATGAAGTGAAGTGTAGTAGTAGTGTTTTCTAATTAGTGTGTAGAGTTCATGACCATTTTATGATTAAATTCAACAAAAAACATTTTAAATCTCAAATAAACTAATGTGAGAGTGATTATGGGTCGTATAAACATCATTTTCGACCGATATTTGGTGTTTCTATGTGTTAATTATATGTGGTACTGAAGGCACGATATGAGGTACTAAATATACAAAAAGAGGTACTACCTTACTGTAGGTCTGGTACTACTTCTTTTAAATGTTGACCACAATTGAAATATTCCATCTTTGTTGACCAAAAGTAGGTACTAACTGATCCATATCAGGTTTTGCGTAGAAGAATAAGTAGTACTATTTCAATAAAAACTGGTACCAGAAGTGTTGAGTATTGTTTTTCCATTAGTGCCATAACTGAAAAAATACTTGTTATTCTTCTGGTACCAGTTTTCACTGAAATAGTACCTGTTATTATACTAAGCAGTACCTGATATTGATAAATTAGTACCTACTTTTGGTCAATCAAGATGGAATATTTCAATAGTGTTCAACATTTATAAGTAATACCAGACCTACAGTAAGGTAGTACCTCTTTATGTAGATTTAGTACCTCATACCGTGCCTTCAGTACCACGTATAATGAACACATAGAAAGACCGAATATCGGTAAAAAATGATGTTTATACGACCAATAATCACTCTCACATTAGTTTATATGAGATTTAAAATGTTTTTCGCTGAGTTTAATAATAAAATGGTCATGAACCCTACACACTAATGAGAAAACACTACTACTACACTTCACTTCATGGAATGAAACACTTCATCTCATAGAATCATCATACATGACTACTCCAATTTTACCTATATGTTTTAACATCCACTATTTTTCATCAAAATCACGCGTTCACGATCCACGTGACATGATAGACATGAAGGATTAGAAATATCACGATTCTTACAATAGTACCTGATTTATTCATAATAGTGCCACATTTTCTTATACGTGGTACCTGTTTTCAGTCGATCAGTACCAATTTTTGTAAAGTATAATTGATTTTTTCAACTGTGATCAACATTTAAAAAAAGTAGTACCAGTCATAGTGTAATGTAGTACCAGGTTTTTTGGGTTTAGTACCACTTATAGAGTCCTCGGTACCACTTGTAGTGAACACATAGAAACATTGAATATCGGTCGAAGATGATGTTTATACGACCCATAATCAGTCTCACATTAGTTTATATGAGATTTAAAATGTTTTTCGTCGAGTTTAATCATAAAATGGTCATGAACCCTACACACTAATGAGAAAACACTACTATTACACTTCACTTCATGGAATGAAACGCTTCATCTCATAGAATCATCATACATGACTACTCCAATTTCTACCTATATGTTTTAACTTCCAGTAATTTTCATCCAAATCACGCGTCAACGATCCACGTGACATGGTAGACATGAAGGATCAGAAATTTCACGATTCCTACAATAGTACCTAATTTAGTCATAATAGTACAACATTTTCTTGTACGTGGTACCTTTTTTCATTCGATTAGTACCTACTTTTGTGAAGAATAATTGATTTTTTCAACTGTGGTCAACATTTAAAAAAAGTCGTACCAGTCATAGTGTAATGTAGTACTTGTTTTTTTGGGTTTCGTACCACTTATGGAGTCCTCGGTACCACTTGTAGTGAACACATAGAAACACCGAATATCGGTCGAAAATGATGTTTATACGACCCATAATCACTCTCACACTATTATTCCACGCAGTACCTGATATTGATAAATTAATACCTACTTTTGGTCAACCAAGATGGAATATTTCAACTGTGATCAACATTTATAAGAAGTAGTACCAGTCATAGTGTAAGTTAGTACCTGATTTTAGTGATTTAGTACCACATATAGAGCCTTTAGTACCACTTACAATGAACACATAGAAACACCGAACTTATTATGTCCTACTTAACCTCCTTGGCTTATAAAAATTATATTGTACTTCTTGACTTAATAAACTTCATTAACCACATTTTAGATCTCATATAAACTACTGTGAGAGTGATTATGGGTCGTATAAACATCATTTGCTATCGAATTTTGGTGTTTTTATGTGTTCATTATAAGTGGTACTAAAGACCCGATATCTGGTACTACAACAACATAAAACAGGTACTCTCTTACTCTATGACTGGTACTAATTTTGAAAATGTTGACAAAATTTGAAGCAACCCCTTTTTTTGTTCTTTCTACAAAGCAGGTACTAATTAATCAATAACCGGTACTGAATAGAAGAATAAGTGGTACTAATTCATCAATAACTAGTACTAATTGATGAAAATAACATCTGTACAAATAAGAATCGTCCTGGTTACATAATTCCTTATTTATATAAATAGATATAGAATATATGGGGTAATTACTTAGAAATACATGTTGTGCTACAGCCCTTCCTATCTGATAGGAAAGGATCCCATGGTCCGGAGCTGGGCTAACCCAGGCTTGCAAATCCCAAGTTTGTCTATGAAGAGCAAATATAATTCCGACAAAATACCAAATACAACTGACAAAATACAAAATACACCTGGGCATAATCCAAACATCATCAAAACAGTCAACATATTGACAGACTAATTCAAAGCCAAACATCATTGTTCAAAGCCATCAGACAACTGCAGACATCATTCACTTCCTACAAAATACACCTGGGCAAAATTGTTCAAAACCACAGACATATTGTTCACAACCAAATATCACAAGCCACAGTTCATAAGCCAAATATCAACAAACAAATTTTTCACAACCACAGACATATTGTTCAAAGCATAATCCAAACATCATCAAAACAGTCAACATGAAGGAGGATTTCTGAGGATGCGTGCTGCCATGCGTGCTCGATAGCCGTCAATCGAACAACTCTGTTGGGCCTTCAGGAATTCAAGAGAATCGACGCCGTAGCACTCCATCTCCAAGCATATGTGCACTCCACAATCCTTGACAGCGGACTGCTTCCTGTAGTATCCACACCCAAAAGCGTCTTGACGAATGCCGTAATTAATTAATTTCAAATTCATATAAGTTCTCATGCACTTGGCCTACAAATTGAAAAAAAAAAATTAAGGAAAAAGCAACAAAATACGTTTATTCGAAAGAAAACAACCACTACAAAACAAAGTTTTATATATCATAATAACACTTACCAAGCTCTTCCCCATCCCTCGGTGTTGTGCAGTATCCATCAAGTTATGGTAGACAAACATCCTTTTTTTAACCTTAAGGACAAGTAAAAAGAAGTGGAATTTGTACACCACGGGAAGGAAAACATACTTCGCACCCTCCAAGGACCTCAACATATCATCAATCACGGCAACAGTACTTTTACTAAAACTAGAAGCACACTTCACATATCATCCTCCTTCCGAAGAGGTCTTCTCGTAATTTTTTTGGGAGCATTCATCATATCAGTCTACAAATTCAATAGTTTTGTTAGTAAATTAACAATCAAAGAAATTAATAGAGTATACTAAAATAAAATACCTGAACATATGTCAGCAGAAATCGGATATGAGGATAGCAGCCATGCAGGATCGACATGTAGCAATCAACGAGTTGAGAATCCAACTCGGAGCCGAACAGAAGAGCACACATTGATTTCCCTCAGACCAAAACTTGGTCATTGCTCCACACAATTATTTTGCTACCAAAATTTATAATTTTAATTAGTATAATATAATAGAAATTAAAATAATTAATGTAATTTCAGTTACCTCAACTGATCGCTTGCCAAGAACGACCGAATGGCTGCAGCATCCTCTTCCGGGATATCCCCATGTCCACAGAAATCGTTTCTGCCCCTGTATTGATCCACAGAGAATCCATCGTTGTCACTCTTGTCATTCTCCTACATTACATTACAAAATAATTAGTTAGTTATATGAAAACAACACGAACAATCACATAAATTACAAAAATAAAATTTCTAGTTTAATTACCTCATCATCAACCAACATCACGAACTGCGATTTTTTTTCTTTCTTCCGCCTCTTCGGACCGGATGACAGAGAGGTCATAAAATCAGCCGCCTTGCCTCGAACAAGCCGATTTCTCCCCAAACTCGCATCCTTCACCACAAGGTTTACCAGTCGATCCAAGTCTTCAAACTCATTCACAGCAGCTTGAGGATCAACCACCATGAGAGCCCATTGTTTTTCCTTCTCATTTTCATCAACGTCTTCTTCCTCGACATGTTCTTCTTCCTCCTTTTCCTCCTCTTTTTCTTCCTCATTTTTTCCTCCTCTTTTTCTTCCTCCTTCTCCTCTCTTTCTTCCTCCTTCTCCTCTGTTTGCTCAGCAAAAACACCAACATCATCATCACCATCAGCCTCTTCTTCCTCACATTTTTCCCCTCTTTCTTCCTCTCTTTCTTTTTCTTTGGTATTTCTTTCTCTCCACTGAGACTCCAACAGTTGAATTCTTTTTTTCAGTTGATCGTTTTCATGATGGCATACAGTTTGGTCTCAAACGTTCCCTGAAAGAAAAAAAAATTAAAGGAAAACATAAATTAAAATAATACTTGTATCTATGAAAATATACTAATGCTAAAACATAAATTCTCGACAAAAATAAAAGGAAAACCTGAGCTTCCACAAAGGCAAGCTCCTCTGAAACAGGCGAATACACCTGCAAATCAAATCATAATGATGTAAGTACAATATCGATTAACCAAAAAGATAAAAAAGAAGAAGTACAAAACACATAATACTATAAAATTATATAAATTACCTTATGCCGCGTTACTTTTTTAAGGGCTTGTAAAGACCCTTCAAATATAGACGACATCGAGGTCCCCTTCCATCTAAATAGACGGGGAATCGCCTCGAGCGTGGACCGTTTGCCTAGGGATGGCACACGCTCGTACAACCAAGTCTACACACATAGACATGATTTGAAAAACAAACAAGCTCACCATTTCATATTGTTGTATTAAGAAATTCAAACACACATATACATACCATCATCCCAACAACACATCCATCAAAGTAGGATCAGTCTCTCGATCCACCATGGCGAACAAGCTCGGCAACCAGGAATTTATGAGCCGCATCTCCCCATGCGTACTCAGAAATTCGACTAACATCCTCTACGTAAGGGTAAAGAAACTTGGGGATGGAATAACTCGAACAGGGGAACAAAATGCAACTAAAAACAAACAAACTATACATCCTGATGAAGTTGTCTACACGACCTTCATCAATAGAAAACTTTTCTAACAACTCTACAACATGGTTTTTTCTCAACAGTTTATTACCTACTCGACCCCAGCCGTCGAATAAGGCTTTCGACTCTAAATTAAGGTCCAAGTCTACGCTTAGACCGCCCTGTCGAAGCCCCATCGTTACACAAAACTCGCCGGGGTCAAAATTAAGAGACACATTATCACCTACCACAAAGGCATTCACATCTGCCTTGTATGTGCTAATTAAGGCCTCCACTCTACTATGTAACACCGCTATATCAGGCATATCTAGAAAAATAAAAAATAAAACGGACTCTTTTCAAGAGCCTACTTGTGCCGGTCAGAAAGCACGACAACTGTCCTGTCCATTATATCTCTAAAGAACGAAGGGGCACATCGACATCTTAATTCTGTGCCCTATCACAAACAAATAAACCAAACAAAAAATTCAAACAACAGAAACAAAATAGCACCCTTTCAACCAAACCAAACAACACAATTTCAACCAAACCAACAGCACCATTTCAACCAAACCAACAGCACCATTAAAGAACAAAATAGCAACACAATTAAAGAACAAAATAGCAACACAGTCACTAAACAATTAATACAAAATTAAAAAAAAAATTAATAAAATTCGGAACATGCTTAACTAATTGAGCCCTAATGAATACAAATTAGGAAGATGCTTAACTAATTTAGCCCTAATTGAACCCTAATTCATATAAACCCTAGAAAGGCAAAGAGCCCTAATTTATCAATAAAATTCTTAATTGTTGAAATGAAAATCAAATTCAAAGTTCATTAGCATCAACCAAATCCCAAATTGTGAAAAATTTTGAATTCAAAGAAATATCCAAGTTTTTGAAAAAAAAAATCCAAATTTCGAATTCAAGAAAAATTCAAAATTGTTGAAAAAAATCCTCAAAATCTTACCTTGCTTACTGTTATAGACTCTAATTTCGAATTCATAGAGATTAGTAAAAAAAACAGTAATTACCCCTAAATTGAAAAAAAAACCCTAAAATTAGGAGCAAATCCCAAAACATCAGAAATTACCTTTGAGATTGGTATGCCTTCGTGGGTGTCGAAGGGGATGGTCTGCATGGAGATTTCATTTTGGACCCGGCCATTTCCTCATAGAGATGAGAACGGCGAGTGACAGAGAGAGAGCGGGCGATGGTTATGAACGAACAGAGAGAGAGAGAGAGAGAGCAGAAAGCAACTGGCGATGGCGACGAACGAACGGAGAGAGAGAGAGAGAGAGAGAGAGAGAGAGAGCAGAGTTGGCTACGAAAATTCCGAAGAGAGAGAGAGAGAGAGTAGATTTCAATGGTAGATAGAGAGAGAGAGAGAAGAGAACGGTGAGAGAGAGAGAGAAAGACTTCAAAATAAATTCAGGAAAAAAAATAAATGAATAATAAAAAGCCTTTCTTATATATGGGGAGTGAAATGGAAAAAGCAAATTAGGGGTGGGGAGTGTAGAGGAAAAAAATTAGAGGGGGGACTGAATTGGAATTTGAAAGTGGGAGGGGGGATTTATCTTGAAATTTCCGTAATTATTTTGTTTTTATAATGATTGCAAGAGAATTAAATCAATCAACCCATAGACGTGTGTGCCAAAAAACGTAATGTCGCACCTTTTTTTTTCAAATAACTCCCCTTATATATAATTACCGAATCTGTTGAGCTTAAATGACAGACTCGCATGCTTCAGAATATTATGTGCCAAAATTTCATGTTTTTTATTTGGTTTGGACAAATTTTAATTTACTTCAAGGTAAGAATATTTTATATTCTTCTATTATCATGTGGACCATATAATTAGTTGACCTAATTGAATTAGTAGTCAAACTTAATTAAGGAGAATATGTATTTAATGGATTATTAATGTTCATCCAATTTGTGATGTTTGACTTGGACAGTAAGTTAGATTAGAACATGGAGATTGTTAGTAGAATTAGGATTGTAGGTCTCTCCTATATATATTACTACATGTCCCTCTGTCTCGGCTTATACGAAATAAAGTTCTCAACATAAGGGCTTTATGGAAAGACGAGAGATGCGGGAGAGAGAAACAATTTATATTCATAGGCAAAGAGAAACCCATCATTGGAGATTACGAGAAAGAGGATCGTAGATCAACATCATAGAGAAAGAGGATCGTGTATCAACATCATAGATCAAGAAAACAGAGAATATGATTATAAGCTTGACTCTTGTAAGTTCTATGTGCAATCTAATTTATGCAAAGATCCATATTCTATGAATTGACAGAATTACATGCTTAAGGGTTATTCAATATCGCCTAATAGTTATAAATATGTCCGTTAAATTTCTTATATTCAAATCCAAAAACAATTAGGTTCGAATTATACATAAATATCTTGATTATTTATGGTCATTTTACATGTATTAATTGCATTTTAATATAATTTCTATTATAACAATTGAATTGTAAATGTATTTTAAATTTTACTAACTTAAGTATTTTTTATTAATTTTACATATGTAATATATTAAATTAATCATCTTTTGACGAGATTCGATTTGATATTCATATTGTATTTATAAAATAAATAAATTTTATTTATCTTTTCACTAATAATAAAATTATTTATTAATAATATTAATTAGAAAAATAAAATTATTTATTAATTAGTATATTTATTTTTATAGAAAACCTTCAGGCTAGATGCTACGAATCAAATAAATAAATTCTTTTGCTTCTACCGGGGAAGAATTCAGCGAGTTACCTTAGCCTTCTGCTTCCAGAAATCCTCCTCCATAAGGAGTCGAAGCTCGTACTCAACATCTCAAAGCATCCACTAAAGTGGCTTTTGAACGACACCTACCGGGCAGTTACTACTAAAAGAAAATACGTGCTTCTTCCATAAAGAAATTAACCGGGTAAATCTCCATCTATGACTTGACAGCGGCGCATTGCGGTCCTATACAATACAAGTTGGTAAACTTACTATAATATAATACATTTAAGTCTCACAAGTAACAAGTGTCGTTCTAAAATATATAATAATATATATTTATTGTAAAAAAAATATTTAAATTTTGAAACACTTTTTTCTAATTAATTTTAAAACTTAAGACTAATTTTTTTAAATAAGCACTCGTGTAATACACGGGTGTTGTACTAGTATATAAATAAATTAGAATCATAACAAATTGGACGTACAATCTTATTGGACTTACACATTTTGTTAAGGGAAAAAACTAACTAATGCACACAATACCTAGTGGGACAAAACACTCCAACATGAGAAACACACCCAGACACAATTGGGACTAAAAAAAAAATACAAATAAAATGTGTCAACGCCGCCGTTTCCACATCCGAATATCGACGTTCGGCACCCTGCAATACTTTGCTGGCGTAATATATCGGCTTCTGTAGGCCGTGCTCCTCCTTTATTAATACCGAACCGATGGCCTCCTTCCCCTCTGATAGGTATACCACCAATGTGTCTCCTGCTTTTGGTTTTGTAAGTAGGGGCAGCTCGGCCAAGAATTCCTTTAACCTCTCGAACGCATGCAGCGCATGCGGCGTCCATTTGAAATAAGCTCCTTTCTTCAGAGCACGAAAGAATGAAAAGCTCTTTTCCACTGCTTGAGCTATGAACCTACTTAGACCAGCTAGGCGCCCCGTGAGCAGCTGCACCTCTTTCAAGTTTCTAGGCGCTTGCATCTCGATGACAGCTTGCACCTTCTCTGGGTTCACTTCTGTAACTCTCTCTATGACCAGGTATCTCAGAAACTTTCCTGATCTTACCCCGAATTTACATTTTCCAGGGTTGAGCCTCATTCCATACTATCGCAAGGTACAAAAGGTCTCCCTCAGATCAGAAACATGATCATGTGCCTTCCTACTCTTCACAAGCATGTCGTCGACATAGACCTCCATATTCCGTCCTATTTGACCCTTGAACAGTCTGTCCACTACTCTTTGATAAGTAGCCCCCATGTTCTTAAGTCTAAAGGGCATTCTTACGTAGCATTAGGTACCCTTAGACGTGATGAAACTGACCCTACTTTGATCTTCTTCCGCAAGGGGAATCTGATGGTAACCTTGTGAAGCATCCATCATGCTTAGCAACTCACACCCTGCTGTGGAATCAACTAGTTGATCTATCCTCGGTAAAAGGTAATGGTCCTTAGGGAAGGCCTTGTTAAGGTACCCTGAAATCTATGTGTAACACCCCGCTTATCAGAGTAAATTTTTTGCAACTTTTACTTCAAAAATACTTATAAATTTTTCAAAATATTTTGCTCTTAACTCGAGATACTACTCAAGCTTATCTTTTCTAAAAATCCGTTTATCTTTAAACTTTGTCTAACTTACTGGTTTAGACATAAAGAAAACAGATTTATTAAACTCGCATGTAAGCTGAACCATATTCATACTAATGAAATGATTAAAGTCTGAAATATGAAATTTAATAACATGCAAGTTCAACTCTGATATGCGTAGCGGAAATACTTAAAAACGTGAATAATTATACAGACATAGTAGTTCATAACTTAAATGTCCACAAGTGCACGACCATCACCACCACATCCGAGCTCACACCTCCAGCCCGACCTTGTTACCTGAAAAACACAATGAGGGTGAGTCTGGTCCTTTTGTACCCCAAAATAACCCATACTAAAGTAAACAACAATAATAATACAATATCATTATCATCGGTATATATCTGGACTGGAATCTGTTTCCGTAACTGAAACTGAATATGTAATCTGGCTGATATCTGATTGGATACGTGTGCACACTCTGATGGATATTTCTAAGGCAACTAATGGCCTCCATCAGAACTTAGGATGTACTAATAAGGCAACTGAGGGCCTTCATCCTAAGTATATAAACTGTATACATACCTTGGACATGATATCAGTATTATAGTTAATGTAATACCCAGGCTGGGTCCCCACCTTTCTTCTTTTGAAAACTCGTAAGTGTTGAATGATATATCTGAATCTTAAAGCTACATAAAAATATAAATCAATATACTAAGTACTATGCTCATATACTCAATAAGATGCTTGAATACTTGATTCTTTCACTTATCCGGATTTTAATGAACACTCTAAAAATTCACTAAAATCCAAATTTAAACTGTTAAGCTTAAACTCTTCTGAACTTTTACTTAAGATTGAGTACTTTCACATATAAATCATAACTCCAAATCTTGAATATTGTTTTACTCATATGAAACTTAGAATGACTCGGAAGTGAAAATAAGCTAAATTTCACATAATAGATAACCGAGTATGTCAAAACAATTTCAACTTTTACCAACATCATATATCTATATGATTTATAAGGATTTTTAATCTATCAAACTTGTCTTAAACTTGCTCTGTATTAAAATCTCAAACTTAATGCTCATTCAATACAAGTTTTTATCATAACAATAAATTATATTATTGATATACTAGACTTGAAACAATTTTATAAACTCACATACTCAACATATTAAGCTAAAACTTGGTTAAATTTTTCATCACTCATATAAGAATTTTTCATAAAATTTTCACTTTAAAAACTCAACCAGGTACTGAATACTCTTGCATATAAAATCATCTTGACATGTATGCCATATAAATATTTTAACTCATTCGTTTCTCAACATAGAATCATGTCATTTGGCATAGTATAGCTTGAGTTATAGATTTTTTAAGTTAAGCATGCAAGTTGAATTTTATGTTCTTTATTTCAGCTGTGACTTTAAAATTCTAATAACTTGATATATATGCATGATAAAATTATGAAATTTTCCGGCCCGACCTTGTTACCTGAAAAACACAATGGGGGTGATGGTCGTGCACTTGTGGACATTTAATTTATGAACTACTATGTCTGTATAATTATTCACGTTTTTAAGTATTTTCGCTACGCATATCAAGACTTGAACTTGCATGTTATTAAATTTCATATTTCAGACTTTAATCATTTCATTAGTATGAATATGGTTCAGTTTACATGCGAGTTTAAATAAATTTGTTGTCTTTATGTCTAAACCAGTAAGTTAGACAAAGTTTAAAGATAAACGGATTTATAGAAAAGATAAGTTTGAGTAGCATCCCGAGTTAAGAGCAAAATATTTCGAAAAATTTATAAGTATTTTCGAAGTAAAAGTTGTGAAAAATTTACTCTGATAAGCGGGGTGTTACGCTATGCACATTCGCCACTTCCTTTCACCCTTGCGCACCGTGACTGAATTTGACAACCATTCCGAAAATTGTATGGGCCGCACGTACCCTGCCTTTAGTAGTTTCTCGACTTCAGCCTCAATCACCTCGTCTAGCTTGGCCCCAAAATGCAGCCTCTTTGCTTAACTGGCCTCACAGTCATTTCAATGTTTAGCCTATGTTCTGCCACTTCCGGGATAATTTCTGTGAGGTCATCCATCGAAAAGGTGAACACATATACAAATTCCCTCAACATTGCTATCAACTCACCTCGTATGCTTCCCACCATATGTTGACCTATCTTAGTTGTTGTTGTGGGCCTTCCCTCAATTAACTCAACTTTCATCAGCTCATCCTGGGAACTCATTCCCAGCTCTTCCTCCCTCTCTCGTTATGATTCAGATTGATCACCCGGCTTTCTCTTCTTATTATGTGCCTCAGTTGTCCTTAATGTTACCTCATAAGATCGGCGGGATTGTAGCTAGTCTCCAATCACTTCCCCAACCCCACTTCCCATGGAGAATTTCATCTTCATACACCACGTTGAAACAACTGCTTGGAACAAATTCAATCTAGGCCGCCGCAGAATGATATTATATGCCGAACTAGCATCGACCACAAAAAATCTAACCATTTTTACCTTCCTCGTAGGAGCTCGGGCCAAGGCTAGAGTTAGGCTCACCTCCCCAATGGGTCGGACTTCACTACCAGTAAACCCGTATAGAGTAGTGTGTACCGGCTCCATCTTCACCTCTAATTCCATTTGTTGCAAGCATTTCTAGAAAATGAAATCCACCGAGCTTCATGTATCTATAAGGACCCTCTACATATCGTAACTGGTTACTTCTGCCGTGATAACCAAAGAATCATTGTGTGGACCACAATCCCCTGCATGTCCTCAGCACCGAACTTGAAAATGGCCGAGCTCAACTGCACCTGTACCTCGACAACTTCATCCACCACTCCCTTTCCTCGGTAGGTCCTCTTCCTCTCCCGATGTAAATCACCATCAGTAGGACCACCTGCAATCATATGAATAACACCCTTCTTCGCTGGCCTATCCAGTTGTTCTTCCATCCTCTTTCGCTTATTGCCTAGCTCGCGCCCCTCTGGGAGCTCCTTGTCCTTTATCACAACTCTTTTAAATGCCCAACTATAATAAGCCGCTCAATTTCATCTCTCAGCTCGCGACATAAATTACTAGAGTGGTCGTATGTAGCGTCCCGTTTGTTTACTAGAATTTATGGATTTTAATATTATTATTAATCGCCTTATTTTATTTGATTTTTGGTTGTGATATAAATTTCTCGTCTTAATTGTCTACTTGATATAAATTGTTATGTGGCATAAATATAAGATTGTTATATGTTTATATATTAACTATGTGTATTAGAATTATTTAGGATTTATTTGAGATAAATTTTAAATTGCTTCGGCGATTTTGGGTTAATCGCATAAACCGAATTAAATCCAATTTAATCCGTTTTTGAGCCTTTTTGACCCCTTGTTAATCATTTTGGTTCGAGTTGACCCACGAAGACCGGCACTTTCCTGCTCGTGTGAACAAATTTTTCCTTTGGATTTTGTTAGCTCATTTTTTATTTCTTTTAAATTTCAAAATTTCTATGGAAACTTGAGGAATTGGGCTAAATTCAATCAACGTTTGAGTATCCCTCATGTACGGTTTTTCCTTCATCTAGTGCATTAGATTAGCACCAATATTAGTAAAGTAAATCTATTAGGCTCCCTTCTTAACTGTCTCATTATTAGCCATTTACATATCAATCGTTTCCCCTCTCTTTTGCACTGAGAGATATCAGAACATATCACTCCATCTTTTTCCCCTCTGAAACGTTCGAGAAACTTGAGATAAACACCAAAATTCGTTCACCATCCTCCATTGCCATCTCCTCGCGCATAGCCCGTATCGCCGGCGAGACATCTCTTCTCGCAAGCATGTTGCAACCACGACGCCCCCGTCAACGTCCGACCACCACCCTCGACTCTCGACGACCTCTGGACGACTCCCTTTGCCGTGCGAGTCACCGTTAGATGTCGAGTGAGCTCCAAAACCGAAGCTCGACTATCCCCTTTGGTGTTCGGTAAATCCGTTTTGCTAAACTCGTCAATCATTGATATTATGTGTGACGTTCGTAAAATTTTGTGTTCTGATGTCAACATGCTCGATTTAAATAATTGCTCGTCTAAAATTTATCGAACGTCATTAGTCGCTATGAGACCCTCAATATGTCCATTTGTTGCAGAGGTATAAGTGAAATTATGGGATGTCGAGTCGACATATGAACCGAGGTTGAGATTCGAATATTCAAAATGCATATGATTGTCATTTTATGTGGAATCATGATTTTCACTGCTCTGTTGTGCTGCGTTTTAAGCCATCTGAGGCTGGTTATTTGAATTCGTGGCCTGCATCAGAATTGTAGTGTTTCCAGTTTATTAAATCTGGGCTTTGGAATTTCTCGATTCCGAGCTATATCGGAAAAGTTATGATTTTTACAAAATTTATGCGCGTCCAGTTTTCTTGTTACCCGGCAGCTTATATCATTTTAATGTATGACCTATTTTTCATGCCATAAGATGTTCGTATGAACTTACACTCTTCATGGAAGTTGTAGATTTGTTTCTTATCTTTCAAATGAGATAAATTGCATGTTGATATGTGCTCTGTAGCTCGAATTGTGTTCATATGAAGTTAGATATGCATGAGTTAAGATTTGCCACTTTGACAGAAATCTGATAATAAATGATAACCAATTTTTTACTACCCAAATGAACTTTTATGAATCTGTCTTCTAAATGAAAATTGTAGAGGCATTCCTAAGGTTTAATTTGATACTTGAACTATATCATTTGGAGGACTGTATCTCTAGATAATTGATAAAGACTGAAGGGCTGTCCATATCATATGTTAACTTTTGACAGTTTTACTGAACCAAGTATATTGTGTTTAAACTCATTGAATATGTGATTATTTTCCAATGTGATCTTCCGCAAAGTTGTAGACATTTGAGTTGCCTATCATGTGGTTTTTGAAATTCATCAAAAGCATGACCGTAGCTCCAGTTAGATAATAATTACTGAAGTCTGGTCAAGTTTAATTGCCCAGATTTGGACTGTGACTCAAATTTAATGTTTGTTGATTTATCACCTTTTAAATGACCTTATTTGCTTTCAATGTCTTCATAAGAGTTGTATTTTCATTTCTTAGGATTCCAATGCAACTTGATTCATGTTCTTATGAGTTATATGCAGAGAGTTATGTCGATTTAAAAAACGCTGCCCGGGTCAAGTTTTCAAAACTTATGTGATATTCTTGAAACTGTGTTTTCCCTTGTTTTAGTGCGTGCTTAAATGACTACGTGAACTTAATTAAACATAGTGGTTATAGAATAGTCCTTGATAAGGCTATTTTACCAAATGTAGGTGTTTGACGAGTCGACCTCGCCGCCTACCCTTATTTTGTGTTTATTCCGATCGCTACCAGGTGGGTTCATTTATGTTGAATCTACATTTATCGCACTTGTTATTTCGTATAAATGTTTGTCACGATAGTTTTTGTATGCGTGAGAACCCTAGTCTAAGTATCTTGATGGTAGTGCCTTTGACGAATGCATAATCAGTGGAAGTCACCTGCCCATTGCATCTGGGAGGTGGGCGCCCGAATCCGTGTAGAGCGGAGGGGATTGTCTGAACGCCCGAATCCTTGTAGAGCGGAGGGGTAATTTGTAACGCCCCAAAACAGTAATAATATTCAGAACGATTTCACTGCTCGACTATAAGTGAAATCTGTAATTTTTAGAAATTATCGAGTTATATTATTTATGCTAAATGCTCAAACATGATAAATTATTCTTTGAATAATTCTATCTCAAGTATAAGTTAAGATTAATCCATTAATTTGGGTTGATAGATAATAGCATGTCAATTCGAGAATTTATCGACTCCGAACCCTAGTTTGGTTCCGAGTAAATTTTCAGGTAAATTCCGAGCATGGCCAAGCATTGGTATTTTTATACTTAGAATATTTTTCTAAGTGTATAATAATATCAAAGTATAGGTATTGATCATTTTAACCGAGCCCTAGT